TCTATCTATCTATCTATCTATCTATCTATCTATCTATCTATCTATCTTTGGTTATTCGGGTTTTCTCCCACGTAAGATTGGAAGTATCTAGGCAACGTTTCGATGAAGTCTCATTCATCATCTTCAGGCTTGTGTCTTCCGCTCTGTGCTTCTCAGAGTGATGTGAGCTTGCAGCTGCTTCTTCCTTTTAACTGCTAGTGGGGGTGTGACTTGATTGGGTGGGGGCTTGGCTGTGTTCTGATTGGGTGGGGGTGTGTTCTGATTGGTTGGAGGTGTGTTCTGTTCAGGTGGGGGCTTGGTTGTGCTCAGAACACACCTCCAGCCAATCAGAACACGACCAACCCCCCAACCAATCAGAACACAGCCAAACCCCCAACCAATGAGAACACACCCCCACCCAATCAGAACACAGCCAAGCCCCCACACAATCAAGTAATACCCCCACTAGCAGTTAAAAGGAAGAAGCAGCTGCAAGCTCACATCACTCTGAGAAGCACAGAGCGGAAGACACAAGCCTGAAGATGATGAATGAGACTTCATCGAAACGTTGCCTAGATACTTCCAATCTTACGCGGGAGAAAACCCGAATAACCAAAGATCCACATACAAATACCCGCGAGAACCTTAGAAAACATATTTGCAAAATGGTTCAACACCACCATTTCCATGTTTTTTTATCACTGGTGTCTGAGGTAGAGAATCCATCAACCAAGATTGAAGCTAGGAAATTCCAAGGCAAAGTAATTCACCACCCCTTCTGGTGGACATGAATTAGATTGGTTTTGAAAAGAAAAATAGTCTAACTTATTTTTTTTTTCTAAATATAAAAACATAGATATGTTATCCCAAGGGTGCTTTTTCAAGAGGCAACTGGACTTTCTGTTTTTTTCTTTGAAGACATTTCACTTTTCATCCAAGAAGCTTCTTCAGCTCTGACTGGATGGTGGGGAATGGAAGGATTTATACTCCTTGCAGACAGCTGGACGTTTACATTCTTTCAACAGTTCCAAGAAAGCTCCACACCCATTTACACCACTCAGGTGACCCTGATGATACAGAGAAACCTCCAGGTGGCCTTTACAACTCTCTAAAAAGAATGCAAATGACCAGCTGTCTGGAAGGAGCATAAATCCTTCCATTCCCCACCATCCAGTCAGAGCTGAAGAAGCTTCTTGGATGAGAAGTGAAACATCTTTAAAAAAACAAACCAGAAACTTTAGTTGCTTCTTGAAAAAAAGTTCTTATCCAACAAGCTTCTTCTATTCTGAGAAGCGCCCATCAGAGGTTTCTTCAGAGCTGAGTTTTTCTTCAAACAAAAAACCAGAAAGTCCAGTTGCCTCTTGAAAAAGCACCTTTGGGACAACCATGACCTGCATGACTGAGAATCTCCACAGACAGACATGTTATGTTTTTAATTATTCTCTTTTTAATTAGGGAGTTAGGTTTTCCAATGCTTATTTATTTTTCTTATAGGCATATTGATGATATGCTAAGAAGGGTAATCAATGAAATTATTTATTTATTTTGTAGGTTTATCATTATGCAGGCTAATATTTTTACTTTCTTATTTGTAGGTTTAATCATATCTTGAAGAGAAAATCTATGGGAAAAGATGCACAGGAAGGGAAAATAAAATTTTATTTATTTTCTATATTATGCCAATCCGCATTTAGAGGGTGGGAAAGAGACGCCCAGGAGTTTTCCAACGGATAGTCCTCCAAATCAGAAGCAGATTGTAATGTTCTAGGTAGTGCCCTGCTCCAAAACAAAACTAAAGCACCACAAAATGTTTCTTGTTCAAAGATTTAACTTCCAAAAACCCGCAGGTCCATCTCCAGAACTGCTGGATCGTGTGCTGGAAAAGATGCAACGCACTCTTTAGGAACATTTTTGTTTAGTAGTGGGTTTCAAAAAGTTTTCCTACTGGTTCCTACTACTTTGCGCACATGCAGCATTTGCAACTCACCTTCTGCTGCAAGCCCTGTGTGTAAAACAGCTGACACACAGCAATCGGCTGTGCTGCGCAAGCAGCTGATCATTGGAGCGAACCAGTTCCCTCACATATGATTGTCGAAGCTACTGGTTCAGCCGAACTGAGACGAAATGGTAGAATACCACCACTGTTTTTGTTCCTTAAGTTCTACAAACATCTTTTGCAGGGGTGGGATTCTACCAGCTCGCACCTATTCACTAGAACCGGTTGTTAACATTCTAAGCAGTTCGGAGAATCAGTTGTTAGAAGAAATTACTGGCCTAATCCTGTAAGGAAGGCAGGAAGGAAACATTCTGGTGTTGCTTACAGAAACTGCCTCTCCATTAACCCTTATTACGTTCTTGGCAGGACTAGACTTCCTGTCTCAGGAACATCTCTGAACTTTTCTTTTCCCTTCCTTTGCTGGTACTTTGCTTGTGTGGAGTGACCATTCAAAGTTACAATGGCACTGAAAAAAGTGACTTATGACCATTTTTCACACTTACGACTGTTGCAGCATCCCCACAGTCACGAGGAGCCAGGCGAGGAGATGCATGCCTCGATGTGAGTGATGTTGAGTTGGGCATGCCCAGCCAGTCACATGACCACCAAGCCATGTCCACCCAGTCACATGACCACCAAGCCATTCCCACCAACTAAGCCATGCCCACAGAACCGATTGTTAAAAAATTTGAATCCCTCCCCTGATCTTTTGTTCCAGAATTTTGTTCATAGCACCTAAAATGCATATTTAATAGTTGAAGAACATATTGACTTTGAAATCCAAACCCCAATATGGAGAGAGAGAGAGAGAGAGACAGACAGACAGACAGACAGACATATCCAGAGGTAACTAAACATTTACCTGGGGTGGAAGAAGTGGTAGTCGGATGTAGGCAAGTAACATACTCAAGTCATTACATCTCCTTTGAAGGTCATATTTGACCCACTTCATTAAGGCATGGAAAATGGTTTCTTCATCAGGAACATTCACATCATCACTGGCAAGAAGTTTGTGCAGTTCGTCTGCGGGCAGCAGCAAAAATTCTTGATTTCTAATCACCTCCATGATGTTCTCCTATGCACAAAATGGAAACCAAAACCAAAACCAAATCATTAAGCTGTCTTCCAGTATAAAAAGTAAGCTGTAAGTCAAATGACCAAACCTGGAACCAATATACAGTGTATTACTCTACACCAGGGGTGTAAACTTGATTTCATTGAGGGTCGCATCAGGGTTGGGTTTGACCTTGAGGGGTGAGGGGGTGTGGGCAGAATGGGAGTGGCCAGCTGAACATCACTCGCGTTGGGGGTGCCTATAGTGGTCTGAGTGCACTGCTGGCAAAAATGGACTCCCAACCTCCATTTTCGGCTGCAATGGCCTCCTGCAACCCCCTGCCAGCTAAAATGGAGCTTGGGAGGGCCGTGTATGGCCCTTCTGAGCTCCATTTTGCTGGCAGAAGCACTGTAAGCCAGTTCTTTGCTGTTTCCCGGGTGGCCCCACGGGCCAGATCTAAGCACTCCATGGGACGGATCCAGTCCCCGGGCCTTGAGTTTGACACCCCTGCCCTATACTGAAGTCTAGAAAATCAATCCTTTCTCAAAGAGGTAAAATTGGCACAAGAATCCTCTTTAGGTATCTGCCTGAATGTATGAGATTTTGAGTAGAGGACACATCACTTCCTCACCTGCAGTCTCTCATCTTTTTGATTAGTAAATTCTAAGTGTGTGCTCTTCTTGTGTTCAATTGCAAGCCTTTCAGTTCTCAACCTCATCTGGAACTCAGTTCTGTAATACCTTGTTTCTCCAACAATACGACCTCCCCCAATAGGAAGACCCAGCATGTTTTCTAGGCATAAAATGAAATTAAGCCCCTCCCTCCAAATTTAGGCCTATTTTAAAACATGCAAAATGGGGGGAAGGGTGGGAGGACTTGCTGTTAGGAGCACCCCGCGGGCAGCAATTCCTCACCACCAGCTGCTCCTAATGGGCGATCGTGGCCGAGCGCGGAGAGCTCCCTACTCCTGCCAAGCACCTTTGCGGCAGATCCAAGACCTTCAGCGCCCACCGCTTTTGATTTTCCTTCTGCCCATGCCAGAGCCACATTTGGAGCTGCCACTTCCATGTTTGGAGCACCACTGCCGTTTGGAGCTGCCGCTTCTGCATTTGGAGCTGCCGCTGCGTTTGGTGCTGCCACTTCCATGTTTGGAGCACCACTGCTGTTTGGAGCACCGCTGCCATTTGGAGCTGCCGCTTCTGCATTTGGAGCTGTCGCTGCGTTTGGAGCTGCCACTTCCACGTTTGGAGTGCTGTCGCTGTTTGGAGTACTGCTGCTGTTTGGAGCTGCTGCTTCCGCATTTGGAGCTGCTGCTTCCGCATTTGGAGCTGCCGCCGTATTTGGAGCTGCCGCTTCCACGTTTGGAGCACTGCCGCTGTTTGGAATTGCCATGTCCGCATTTGGAGCTGCCGCCGCGTTTGGAGCTGCTGCTTCCGCATTTGGAGCACTGCCGCTGTTTGGAGCACCACCGCCATTTGGAGCGCCGCCGCCACTCCAAACATGGCGGCAGCTCCAAACGTGGAAGTGGCAGCTCCAAACATGACGGCGGTGCTCCAAATGGCAGCGGCACTCCAAATGGCAGTGGCACTCCAAACACGGAAGCGGCAGCTCCAAACATGGCAGCGGAATGGGCAGAAGGGAAAGCAACAGCGGTGGGTGCCAAAGGTCTTGGGTCTGCAGCAAAGGTATTTGGTGGGAGTAGGGAGCTCTCTGCGCTTCGCCATGATCACCCGTTAGGAGCAGCTGGTGGCGAGGCTGCCCGTGGGGCGCTCTAGATGAGGATGCAAGGTGGGGAATTAAGTCACCCCTGAAAAGACGGCCTAACCGTTTTTTCGGGGCTCAAAAAATATAAGACCTGGCCTTATTTTATGAGAAACACGGTAGTTCCAGATCAGAGGAGATAAATTCACATTCAAGTCAAATCTTCTTGAGACAACCGAACTGAATGTATGAACAACAAAGGTGAGGCCCTCTGCTCTACTCACTTGGAAAACTGTTTGCATTCAGACAGTTAACTGTAGGAGGCTATTGTTGATGTCTAAAGTTATGCATTTGTGAAAGCAGAATTTGAAATGCAGCAGTGATGTCAGGATCACACATTCCAAATCACAAATGTTTATATGTTTATGTGAAATGCAGAGGTTTATTATGGTAGAAACAGAATGCTGAAATTAACTTTCTTTAGAATTAGAGGACTATAGTTTATAGATTATTCCAGCTATTGTAGAATGTTTATTACAGTCGTAGACCAGAGACCAGAACAAATAAAAAACACTCAATAGATGTACAATTAAAAATTCTGGAATAAAATAATAAATAACAGATAAAATCTATGATAAAATCCAGTCTGTCAATTACACATGGTCTAGCTATACTAAAATCACAATCCATAAACTGTGTGGCATGTAGTCAGTTTATTACTAAAAGCAAAAGGAATAAGCAGTGATAAGGGTTTGCCACATTTGTTGTATAAAATAGTGATGGTGGATTAGACATGTTTATGATGAATCATCAGTGCTGCTGCACATAATTTAGCCAACTGTGCTGTAGTTATGAACTATTTCTCCTTAAGCAGCCACTGGAGATAAGCAGAATCAGAATTTGGAATGGCCAGGATACCTAGAAGTTATTGGAAAGATATGGTTTTTTTTCTGAATCTCTCTATAAAATGAACATCACAGGAGTATGTGGCCCACAATCTCCATCTCTCCTGAGCCATCCAGATATTGTAATGATTAACTTTTTTTTAGGCCAAGAGGTTGAAGAAATTGGTATAATAAAAAAGCAGTTTTTGTTTTGCTTTCTTTTGAAAAAAATATATTTAAAAACATCCCATGAAATTTTGCTGTGCGTAAACTCAATGCTTAAAACTTTTGAGAGTTTATGACATGAGACTAGAGATTACCAATACATGAACATCTCCTTCAAGTTGGGATTTATTCTGAAACCTCAGATATATTTCTAGGCTCTAAAATGGCTGATTCAAATTTCAATAAAGGAAAAAAAAATCTTCTGGATTTATTTATTTATTAAATTGACTAGCAGGATACCCGTGGCTTTGCTACGAAACGATGTGATCGGGCAAGTTTTCTGGGAGGAAAATAAGGGGGGAAAAATGTGCCTCTGCCTACCAGCATCCATCGGTATTCATCTGACTAGCGTCTTGTCAGTGTGTGAGAGAGTTCAGGGCTGTTTGGAAACTGAAACAATATTTGCTGTGTGAGCAAGAAGGAGACAGCCATTTATGGCTTAGTTGAAGTGTTCTGTACAAAATGTGGTTGCTGCTATGAAAGTAAAACTGAAACTGAAACTCCTTGTTTGCTTCTGTTTTGCCTGTATTAGGCAACTGGCAGTTGGAACAGAGTTATTTTCAGGTGGGAGGGGGAGTAGAACTCCTTAGGATAAAAGCTTGTTAATAATAATATAGGAAATACTAATGCTCTGATGGTCATTTCGAAAAATCCTTTCTTTGTGAGCCAAGAGGAACATATGTGCCAAATTTCAAGTTTGTAGGCTTCACAGTTATGGAGATTTTGTGATGACGGGTGAGTGCTTTTTTGCTTTATATATGTATGTGTGTATGTATGTATGTATGTATGTATGTATATGTATATATATGTGTATGTATGTGTGTGTGTGTGTGTGTGTGTGTGTATATGTATATGTATATGTATGTGTGTGTATATATATATATATATATATATATATATATACATTTATAACATATAAATATATCTAAAACAATAAAAATAGAAGTAGTTATTGGGTGCTTGAGGCTATTTCTCAACCTAGTTTGAATTAGAGGTGGTTTAACCATAATGCAATATAATCTCTCTCGCTGGAATAATATCACCAATAAAATATGCTTCCTTAAAAGAAAATGGCATCTATGAATAATATCAAATTAAATAGTTATTATCAAACTTGAGCAGATTGCATTTAAACTTATAATGTAAGCATAGTCGGTGTCTAAAAGTTATTTATATCAAAATGGATGCTGAGTTTGAATAAAAATGAAAAAAAATTTCCTTGTAAACAAGAATCTATGAAAAGTATTATCACTTTATCCCGAAGTTTCATAAGTCTTTGGATTCTTTGCTCGATGGAAAGGTGAGAAATTGCTAAATTGTAAATTTTTAAAGGAGCGTTATAGCCAAAATCACCAGAAGCCTGTCACATTAAGTTGTTTTAATAAAAAATAAAACACTTGCAAAACTGCTCACTGAAAATTTGCCAAAGGTTCTCCAATCTATACACATAAATTTCAGATTCAATGGCAATTGAAAAGCATCTTTGTGTGTGGCACATTTTTTTGTTGATTAAGCTGACAGATTTGCTTGTTTTATTGGTGTTTGGCAAATTGCATTCAGTGAAGGAATCTACACTGTGCTCTATTTTGTCAGATGCATCAAATGTCCTCATACTCAGTAGATCAGAAGTGCCAAACTCAAGGCCCGGGGGCCAGAACCCGCCTGCGGGGTACTTAGATCTGGCCCATGGGGCTGCTCTGGAAACAGCGAAAGACTGGCCCACAGTGCAGAGGTTCTGACCAGTTCTGGAGAACCGGTAGCGAAAATTTTGAGTAGTTTGGCAAATACAACCTTTGACTGGCCCCGCCCTCATCTATTCTCTGCCTCCCGAGTCCCAGCTGATCGGCTGGGTCTTCTTTTGTTGCCCTGCAAAGGAGAATGGGGCTGGAAAGCAGGTTAGTGGGGTGGGGAAGGAATGGTATTTTGCAGTAACCTTTCCCCTGGAGTGGGGTTGGATTTTACGGTATCCTTCCCCTGCCATGCCCCACCAAGCCACATCCACCAAGCCATGTCGTGCCCACCAAGCCACGCCCACAGAACCAGTAGTATTTCTTTTTAAATCTTTAATTCTTGTTGCTGTTAAAACACAGGCGTTGATTTCATTGAGGGCTGCATCAGGGTTGTGTTTGCCCTTGGGGGCCAGGGTGGGCATGGCCAGATCAACATCACTCGTGTGGGGGGCAGCTGTGGTGGCCTGTGTCCTCTGCCAGC